CATACCTCGAGCAAGAGGAGACCATGGAATGGAGCCGACTCCGAAATGCTATATTGTGCAAATGTCTTGAACAAAAACTCTGAGGAGAAGTATGACAGCCGGACTGTACCTTGAGAGTAGGGAACATCTCACGCTGTTCTTCCCGATAGAGAAGGTTGTGATGATTCTGCATTGATACGAAGGGGGTCAAATTATGTTGAATCGCATAATCTACAGCCAAGTGTCAGTTTGATAGTACTAGAAAAGAAATATCACATACTCTGCATGACATGGACTGATGCGCAAGCATAATAATGAGTATGCAGCAGCAGTAGTGAAATAAGCCTACTGGTAACTCACACTGCCACGCGTAACAAGAAGACATGCCAATATATCTGACATATCCGGCCTTGACGACGTCGTGAAGGGCTTGCATCTAGTTGTATAAGCGTATTATAAGCACCGGCGGCGTAAAAATATTGTACAAAGATCAATTCACCGTTTCAGAAACAGGCGTATCGGGATCGAATCGATGGCCTTCAAACACGGCGTTAGAGAAAAGTCGAATGAGAATAGCAACGGACTGGCACCCACATTGTAGGACATCAATATATTCGAATTGTAAACGTTTCAAGCTGTGCTTGACACTGTCGAAGATGTGCTTCACGCAACCTCAGCGCATTTGTCTCCAGAGAAATGCTTGGCGCGAACGAACCTTTCTGCTGAGACCATGCTGGTTCACGTATCCATTCTTTTCGCTATCAGCGGGGGTCATATATAGTTCTTCAGGCTCTTGCCCGACTGTACAGAAGACCTGGAAAAACTCAGTCGGCGTCGCTTCAATGTGATTGAGCATCTACGTACTTTGGTCATCACGACGATTTCTTCGCGTGGCAAGTTGTGCTGCTTGATCGCCTTTCCGAGTGTGACTTCGGACTGCCCGTTAGAATAAATCTATGAGGGAAAATGAATTAGTCAAGAGGCATTCAGAATTACTGGGATGCTTGCGTTGGCAGTGTCGAAAGTATTGATTCCAGCATCGTAGCTACGAACCAGGTCAATATATTGAATAGAACCGACGAGGGAGTACGAACGCAGCCTTGATATGCTTGATACCTTCTTCCTCCGGTAGCACCCATCCTTGCCAGGCGGGATTGCCGTAGGACATGCATCCTAGGATGATCTTGGATACCTTCAAGCCAGAGTTTCCAAGACGAACTGGAGATAATCTCATGAGCACGAGTGTAAAGACGAAAAGAACTTTGCACACCATACTGCATAGTAGTGGGACGCATGTTGGAAACGACAGAGGATGGTGTTGTCCAGCTGAGCCCCAAGGATGTTTATATACAACATGGAATTTCCGTGCCGGAGCGACACGACAGTCTACGGCAGAGGGTCACGAATGACATGCAGATACGGCTTGTGGTTTCCGACACTGAAGGACTCATATGGGAGGCTTCTGAGGTCACGTACCGCAGGAAGGGACTCACTTGAGACCAACTTAAAAGTTGAGACCTTTCGATGTTTCGATGTTTCTAAAAGCCAGCCAAGAACTCCCTACCTCAACACTTCTCCTGGGCTCTGACAAGCGAATCGTAAGACTTGATGACTGACTCGGAGGCTGGGTGATGCACCATAATTTCCGAACGACACGGTATATAATACCAGAGGAAAACGCATTTTCGGCATTGTTTCGGCACGTCCCGTCCCTCATGATCGTGCCGGGCCGACCTAATGGAATGAAATTTGATTTGCAGATTCTTTTTTTTCTTCTTTTTGTTGAGTGTTTGGGATGGCTTCATACGCCCTGCTCAGCAGGAACCTTCCGACTAGCAGCATAGTGCGCCAAGGACTCTGTATTCCCGTTAATGAAGCGAGGTTTGCAGCTTCTTCTACACATGGTAAGGTGGGATTGAGTTCTCTTGTGTTGGGCCGATAGGTCACTTGTGATTACTCATCGACCAATAAAGCAGGGCCAAGTACTTCTCTCATACAGGTCTGCTCGAACAAACGACTGGATTGGGAAAATCCTGACATAGGTACAATTGTTCAACGGGCCATCCTGCTGTAATCATCACATCTAATCGACGTTTTCAACGACCTCAAGAACTTCTTTACAGAATGCTCAATGGTCTACTTATACAAGTATTTAATGGCATCCTCTTCAGAGCATTTTTTAAAGTCGTACACCGTCGTCATGCAGTCCATCTCATACTATATCGTCGTCCCTACAGTCGCATTTCTTCTTACCTTCATGTTCTGGCGCTTCAAGAGGCGTAGATCTGCGGTACATAGTATTCGTAGACCGTCAAGCCCCTCATTTCTCTTAGGTTTGTTTCACTTCGCGTCGTTTAACTTTTTGCTAATGCTTGTTGACCAGGTCATGAATACCTCCTTCACAATCGTGAACATGTAGGTGACTTGGAGACGAAATGGCGTCAACAGTACGGCGCCGTATACCGCACTAAAGGATGCTTCGTGGTAGGTGTTCAACTTGCCTATCCTTTGTTAACGACCCTAACATTCAATGCAGCAAGATATTTTGTCTGTCGGTGACCCTAAGGCACTGCAGTACATTTTCCATTCTTCTGGATATCGATTCCCAAAGACAAGAGACGTCCATCGCACCATTAAGGCGCTCACGGGAGAAGGCTTAGCTGCTGTGACAGGTATGTAAACGAGTTCTATGTCATCGTCAAGCCTCCCTGTGTAATTGGAGTTTCAGGTGATATTCATCAACGCCAGCGGAAGATTCTTGGCCCAGCTTTTGCGGCTTCCCAGCTCCGGCTCTTCCTGACAGTCTTCCAAGCGTCAGCCATGAAGGTACGGCAGACGCATCGACTTTAAAATTCTAATGTCTCATTCGAACACCCTAGCTTACTGAGAAGTTAAATGAGCGCGCCACGGATGGCGGGGTGGTCAATGTGCTTGAGTGGACGAGCAAGGCTGCGCTGGATATCATAGGCATCAGTACGGTTTTCTCTTACATTCATTGACATTCAGTTCGTTTATAGCACACCCTCTAGCCTCTTTCCGATATCATTTCGATTCGCTCAACAATGGAGAAACCGAGCTCATGATGGCACTCAATAATATCTTGTATGCATCAACCTCTCTATTTGTGGCACATCTTGTATACTCTTTTTGTTTCAATAGTACCGAAGCTGGAATGTGGCCTACATCATTGGAACTTCTGTACTCCGCACTCTGGCGTTTACTCCCCGAATGGTTGCTTTCAGTGCTCGAATGGCTACCCAGTAGAGAGACCAAGCGGGTGAACTGGTTTAGAGATGTTGCAATGAAGGTATCCCGGCCTATATTCGAGAAACAACTGAAAGAAGCGGTCAATGATGTCAATCCTGCTGAGAAGGATGTTGTCAATGTTCTTGGTATGCAGCGTGATTTCATCATTGCAACTCTGTCTCATCTTATCTCAGCAATTTCTTATCTAAACGACGATACGAAGAAGAAGATGAATGATATAGAAATCGACTCTCAGCTTGCGTAAGTTGGTTTGGCTCCGCGCAATGCACCTACTTCTATTGACTGACTGAATGTGAATTCGACGGGACTTTTATTATAGCTGGTCATGACACGACCGCAAACACCATGGCTTGGCTTCTCTACGAGCTAAGTCTTCACCCTGAGGATCAAGTGAAAATACGTGCGGAAATTACTCAAATCAAATCGAACACCTCAGGCGCGGTTACATCGAATGACTACGATTCAATGGTCTGGCTAGATGCGTGTATTAAAGTGAGTTTCCCTTTTATGATACAGCGCCAGCTTCCAAGTGCTAATTCATGTACTAAAATAGGAGGCTCTCCGTCTCCATCCTCTAGTGTATGCCCTGTCTCGTGAATCAGTCCAGGACGACGTTCTGCCCCTCGCGGAGCCTATCACGACTTCGGATGGGAAATTATGCTCGCAGATTCCTATTTCCAAGGGACAGGTCATCATGGCTTCTGTATACACTTACAATCGGTATGTGAAACGTTTCTTTGTAGCTGGAGAGTCATTAATTTTATTCGGGGTCGGTTTTAGGCTTCCATCTGTCTGGGGTAACGATGCGGAGGAATGGAATCCTGGCCGGTTCGTTGACGGTCGGGACATCAAGCAAACTTCTCTTGGGGTTTATGCGAATCTGTACGGTTTATCCGTTTTATGTGTTTCTCATACTGATATTACTGCGATCACATGGCAGGATGACCTTCAGTAAGAATCGTATTTTCTGTCCACGACCTTTATTGATGATTGTACTACCACAGGTGCCGGTATTCGTGGATGCATTGGGTGAGTACCTTCAGTGCCACAAGTAAAAGTTCACGCCTGACCTATAACTACTCACCGGCATATATACAGATGGCGATTTGCGTGAGGACAGATCAGCCTACCATATTTTCTGAGATCTGATTGTTTAATAGTGTCATGGAACTGCAATCTGTGGTCACAGAGCTCTTGGATAACTTCGAGTTCAGTATGCCGAATGGTGCTTCTAAATTGCAGCACGGTCCTGTTGGTGCGGGTTTAACCCCCATCGTTCCTGGAAAGGCAGAGGAAGGACCACAAATCCCGTTGCGTGTAACCGCACTTAATAAGTAGGTCTGTGATTGGATACTTGGCTATGTCGTCGATGGGACTGAGGCTCAGTAGTACTATCTCTGTGAAAGGTAGACACAAATTGTCTCGTATAAACAAATGATTTCTATCTTTCGGGTAGACTCTACGATCAGATTCCTTCGCTTCCTCCTTCACACATTTCAAGCATTACACGATGATAAACATCTTCGGAACGCTGAACCACGCCAAGAACAGCAACGGATCCTCAAGTCCAACGAGGCCTTGTTGATATATCAACCAGCGAAGGATCCATAAATTTTGCATACTGACTGAGAATGATATCAACCTGTTTGATTCAGAGAGTCGGACCATCGTACACGCCCTATCGCGCCTGAGAGTGACGTTGACTAGTATGACGACGGGGTTCCCTATAAGGGAATCAAGAACTTAATTCAAACTCAGCGGAAACCATCATGGACGAGACGATTAAGATCGGATAATGTCTTCGTCGTACTCGAATAAAACCATATCATGAGACGACAAACTGTTGCGTTCAGAAACAGTGCGAACCATTGAGAATCGGAGTCGGAAGAGGATGGTGCCATGGATGGGATGGAAGTTGGCATAGCGCTCGCAGTATGTGGACCGTAAATGCTCAGTGCAGGTGTGGATCCGGTCGTAGCAGTGGCAAATGTTGGTGCATCGCAAACGTCAATCAGGGTCTTCGTTTTCTCGGGACCCCAGGATGGCAACGTCTTATACTGACGGAAAAGTCCAAATATGTTGGGATCTGTCGTAGTAAATGCTGGTTTGTTGTCCAGCTCGAGTTCTGAATCGGATTCGGAAGGCTGTTCCTCTTCTACCTTTGGAGGTTGCCAGTGGCGAGATGGTGGAGATTTGATCTCAGCATATTGGCTCATTCGTGTGGTTTCTAGGTTGGAGGAAGGGAGATAATCATGCAGATGCTTCCGTATGAGCTTTCTCCGATGACCTCGACCTTCGACGACTGGTTCTGGTTTAGGATTGTCAATAATAATGTCCGATTCTGCGCCAGTTTGAAAATCGTTGAGGTCCATCATAGTATCGGATAGATTGGTGGTAGGAGTTGGAGGTCTATAATCTTCTGCTACCTATCTTTCTTTTAGGGCGCTGCTTTTAAAAGGAAATAGGACACGTACCATTGAGAAATGAGAATTGCTCTTCGATGAGCCAGGTGTAGGAGCATCCCGTAGAACAGGCGGTCTCAGATTTCCCAGTCCCTCAAATCATTTTCCACCTCCTCTACTCGATTTCTTGAGTCCCATGGCGCCATCAGCAAGCATTCGAGCTCTAGAAGCTCTCTTGGGGCATTGTGCCTTGTGGCCGTTGATAGCACATCGATTATTGTTGAGAATCTTGCCACATGAGTGACAGTTGTATGGCATCTTTACGAGAAACAAGATTGTGAGGGCAGCAACGGTAAGGATATGGGAAAATCGCATTGATTGAACATTCCCTGTGCAGAGGGATGGTCGAGACGGAAAGAGTGACGATCGTGACCAAGAGACATGGACGCGACGCGTCTGTTAACACAAAGTCACGACTCCGAGTCTTGCCGTCTACCGTCATCATGCCCTCTCCCGCTTCTCGTTGTATTCTCTCAAGGCACATATGTCCACATCAAGGCCTCCTGTATCAAAGGCTGCAGCGCCAGCCAAAAGGTCAGCACCCACCGCTTCAAAGAACAATCCGAAGACTATGTCAAAGCCCAATGCCGCTAAAATGGTCAGCAAACCGGCTCCAGCCCAAACCAAACGACGGGAGCAAGAAGATCTCCTCAGTGTTCTCAAAGACGATGACGAAATGGATGATATTCAGCCTGTGTATCATCGCAGGCGTATCATAACCCCACCGGAGACTTCAGACGCTGAACTCGAGATGAGTGAGGAAGAGGAAGGTGACGGTGAAGAGCTGGTGTTAGAAGAAACTCCGGTTCCTCCACAAAAGAGGAAGCATCGGACTCGGAGGCATAATGAGCAGCCTGCCAAGAAGAAAAAGCGACAACCTCAACAGGAGAAGAAGGACAAAACGGACAATGAGGATAGTAGCACGGATGACGAGGATGACAAGAAGTATGCCCGCACTGTTTTTCATCCGCATATATGCTGATACTGCTTGTCCTAGACGTGAGGCCGTACCGATTCTATCCTCGTGCCATCCACCTGTGGGTCGATGCAGAAGATATTATTATGGCTGGTATCGAACATGCTGCAAAAGCTATCAAGTAAGTCATTCCATCTCTTATTTCCCCTGCTAACGAATGTCAGGGCTGGCATTAAACCGCATGAACTCCCGTACAAGACTGCGAATGAGAAGGCTTTCAGTATTCTTTGTGAACTCTGGGAGCGCGAAATGACCTTTGAAGAGGCATTCAGCCGTTTTGAAACACGACAGGAAGGTGTTCAGGTTGTAATCCGAGAGGTATGTGATATCCTGCTTCCCGTCATGATACTCATATAGCCATACCTTTCTAGATACAGCTTGATGCTGGAGAGGGTCGCGCATCGGACACAAACAAAGTGTGGACAAAAATTCTCGACCTTATGCTTGAAGATCGGCAATACGACACCATCACAAAACCGGTCCCAGGATCCAAAGGCGAACAAGGCTTCAACCATGTTGACACCGGTCGCCTCTTGTGCCCTCAGCGATTCCTCAGTTACTTAGATGAAGAATAAGCTCTGTTTGGATCTGTCAAGTAATGCTACGGTGCTTCATTCACTTCTAGAGTTCTGATGGATATGGCTGAAGGCGGCGTCAAGGTTACCGCGTCGGACTGGCCATCCTTCCTCTACTGCCAAGAGGAACATGTCAAAAACAACCCAGAGTCCGGTCTCATGAAGGGATGCCTGCTCCTGCGGGTGCGCTGTTCCGCCATCTCCTCTTGTATTATGCAATGACATTTTCAGGTTTTTCTTCACATATTTGTGGGTAATGGTGACCCAAACAAGCAAGGCGGACCTAAACAACAAGGAATCGCCAAAATCAACGGAATGCACAAAGTAACCGGTCATCATCTCGCATATGCAGCTTGCCAGGTCAGTAGCCATTGCTATAATGATATGAATATGTTACCTCTTTTCACTAGGCACGATATGCGTTGTCATCAAAAGACACCTGGTCGATTTCTGATGGTGCTGTTCGCATGGACGTGTTCTACGATGCCATCGTTGATCTGTTCGAGAAGCATCCGGAAGACGAGTGGACCGTGGATACGCTCAAGTGGTGGAATGAGTAAGTGTTTCCTTTCACAACCTCGCTATTTACCTCTGATCTGCAGCAGACAGGTTTTTGGTGATCCTGAGGGTTGCCCAGAGGATGTCGATGACAGGACAAATGTTCATCCGCCTGAAAGCTCGGTTCAAGCCGTATCTGATGCCCGTGACGCCCGCGCTAAAGCCCGAGCAGAGGCTGCCGCTGCTCTCGCTAAGGTGGAGAATGCTCAGGCTGCTGGGGATAAGCCTACTGACTTGGAAACAGAACTCGTTGCTACCTAACCTTGGTACGTGTTTTGCCGCTAGACTATTTATTTTCGCTGATCCAGTTACCAAGCTACGGTGCTGCTTTAACGCCTACACAAATTTCCAATAGCCCTTCAACTTTTCGACGTTACTTCTTGATGCTTCCGCTGCTTCTGATACTTCTTCCTATTTCGAACTCTCGTGCTCAGCCTGGCGATTCTACTTCGGACCTTTTTTGAACGAATGCCTTGTTTTTATCGTAGTTTATTCTTGATGCTCTGCTCCTGTGTACCATAATAGATAGAGCGATTGCTTATACACTATTTGAATGACTGTACTGTCTGAATAGTCTGAAATAACGGATGTTTAGTGTGATAGAATACAAAGTGTACCTATATACTTGTGAACGTGCAAATGATTTACAATTTGACTAATATTTGGGAGAGTTCACGACTGATTATAATGGTTTGCTGCGGGTTATGAGGTCAACTTAAGCTCTTACGTGTAAATAGACCTTACATCAAGAGGGCTCGTAGTCTTGATCAATTCTTAGAAGCATTCTAAGCTATTACATTGATTTTATTCCGTTATAAGCTATCAGCCTAGTACGTATAATCACCTGAGGTTAGCCCACTTTTTGTGGTGGGTCAATAGCAACTGCTATCGATAATCGCGACCCACCCAGTATACTTAAGTAGCTGGCCAGTAGGACTTCGATGCAAAGCAGGAGCAGCTGATCATGAATGTGACCCAATTCTTTTCTCAACAATTGGCATTCTTGTTACATATGTAACGTCCCATCGATCGTTGGGGAAATCAGATCGGAGGATTTACGATCGATTGGCATGACGTCGATGCTCGTTTATGATCGAGCAGATATCTAATCGAGACAACGGTCGAGCTCATACTTCAAAAAAAAGCCTTACCCTGCCAGTCAGTCAGCAATCAATCCAGGACCAACGCGTCCACCGATAAAAATCGCAAAGATAATGGCGGGGTAATACGATGTCAGACCGGATTCGCCAAACGCAACACTGAACAGAACCGTCGAGTCACACGTAAAACAACGGGTTGAATACTATGGAGAAGACGGATATCCACGCGCCAGTTGCCATGAGGTTGTATGTTGGATACTTGAACGCACCAAAGTCCAGGAGTCTGGACATTGGGGCGAGGAGGATGAATCGTGATCACAACGACGATGTGGCAGAAGAGACAGATAAATTGAATGATACGAATCGTCTAGCATTTTCCATAATAAGTCATCGAGAATTCTAGTGAGTGCAATATGAAATCCTAACAAAACCAAGTTTTAGGGCCCGAAGTCGATGCATAAGGATAGGGAAAATGATCCCGCCGATACTGGGTCCTGCGGTAACGCATCCAGTTGTGTGTGTATTATTACGCCTAAACCAATGAGCAATGATAGCTAGGCAAGGGAAACATCTAAATATGACGAGGTCAGATCAAAGCACGTATTCAGAAAGTCAGCTGCTAGAAGATATCGATTTAAATATGGAATATCGCTCTGTCCTAGGCCTTTTAAAGAATAGCTGCCGAGATATGGATATCTAACAGGATGCTAATTGAATTGAATGATGTAAGAATCACAGCAAAGAAAATGGTAAAGATGCGAGTATGGACAGTGTACTACTCCATTATGTCATTTAACCAGATCCTGGATACAATGTGTTAGAGACAAGGATATCATGGAACAATCAGTCACACTGACCTCCAGAGTAGACCTTGCCGAACATGATTTCTTGAAGCTTGTCATATAGAGCCAGCACACCAGCGCCGGCAACACTGCGGAGAATGTTGGCACCGGCACCCTTGAACAACGACTTGACGCCCTCCTTGGCGACGATCTATAACAGACAGTGAGATGCTGGAAGTGCATTCATGAAGACCGCATACTTGAGAACCAGCGTCAAATGTGGACTTGTAGTTAACACCGGATCCGGAGGTCATCATCATGCGACGACTGCAGGCATGTGAACATCTCGGGTCATATGGGGGAAAACAATAGGAACGTACCGGATAGTATCAATAGGGTAAGAAAGGAGACTAGCACCAACAGTGACACCCCAACCAAGACCGAATGAAGCCAGGAAGGAACCCTCAAGAGGACCAACGAGAACAACGGGCTCTGCGAGACATCATAAAGACAATGAACAAAAAGTGATTCATCCACTTACTGAGTGAGTCGTAGCCACCAAAGTAGAGACCACAATAGATGACGATACCAAGGACGGAAGGGAAGAAACCACGATAGAGACCGATAATGCCATCCGAAGCATAAGTCTTTTGTACACGTCAGCGAGGCTATTGAACTGACGTTCTCCTCCACCTTTAATAGACTTGGTGTCGTTGGCAAGACGAGTGCGAGCGTAGTCCAAAGAGTAGAGGAAGAGGAGGGAAGAGGCACCAGCGGCACTACCGGAAGCGACGTTGCCAGCGAACCACTTCCAGTAGCCTTCGTTCCTCTTGAAACCGAACAAAGACTTGAAGTAATCCTCTGTGGAATGATATGAGAGTCATGACAACCGAAAGTAAAGGTCTGACAAACTGAAGGCGAAATTCAGAGCCTGGGTAGGGAAGTACCGGATGATGTTGACGGTGTTTCCTCTCCACAGTGCCACGAGCCCCTCGTCGGCATAGGTACGCCTGAAGGCATCGGTAACACCCTTGTAAGGAGAGGAAAGACGACCTTGCTTGATCTGAAAGAGGACAAAGAGTTATCGGCTAATAAAAGCGAGTGCAAGATGCAAAATTTACCATTTCATCTTGGTTCTGGATCATTAGCTTAATCCGCTCAATTGGGGCAGCGCTGGTCTTCGCGACAGCCTAGAAAAAACCTTGAGAGCTCCGTAGAGAAACGAAAGGCAGGAATAGGTGCTTACAGCTGAGACACCGCCCATAAGGAAATCGACTACGGATTGTGACGATGAGGGTACGGCCTAGAAAACAAAGACGACGGCGGCGGACCTGGAAATTCCTTGGGCGTCTTGCCCTTCTTCACGTCAGACATTGTTGGGAATAGGACAAGTGAGAGTAGGGATGAAGCTGGAGTGGCTTTGGTGAAAAATGGAACGAAGGCATTGGCGATAAGAAAAGTCTTTCCGAATCTCTCGGATTGCCTTCATCTCCGCAGCCCGCTTGACTCTGACTACCGCGGTAGAAAACTTGAGATGTGCATGTGCTGGCGCCCGACCGCGACGAACATTGCTCAGCAAGATTTCTATTACCTTTGCTAAGATTGGCCTCTAGGCCTCAAGCGGAATCAAGTTGATCATATGATAACCCGAGCTGGGTATTCGTCAACAAATAAGCATTTGAATGGGATTGTTACCCCCCAACGTGGCCACAATCGCCAAAAAAGGCACCGTTAAGGTTCGCAGAATTGCTTTTAGAAGGTTGTAAAGGAGTCCTTTTTTGGCGAATCAAAATGAGGGAGTAAACTCGAATTTACTCCTGTTAATAATGTGATCTACTTGGTTCTGCTTGCGGCCTATCTTAGTTAGCCATGAAACATTGAAGTCTCATAAAATTGAGTCGCGTTCGTCACATGAATTCCACGCGCCGCGGTCTGATATTCCTGGCGTGGAAGTTGGAACCATAGAACTTCAATTAATAGCTTGACCTTAGTATACATTCCTCCGCTATAACAAAACCACGCACCTTGACGGAACCTCAAGGTATTAGTCCCATCTCCTCCAATATGCAGAACGTCTGATACCGGAAACTAGGCTTTATGTGAAGACAGTTGTCTAGAACTTATGAGATGGAGTTAGCGAGCTCGGGTGACGCAGTTTCCTGTGCGAATATCGGAGAGTTATATAGTTGTGACTTAGCTTGGTCTGTAGCGGTGGACAAGAGGTTGTATTGTGACTTTTTACACATTCCATCCGCTGCTACTCCGTTAATTAGCTTCTGCGACTCGCACCATTACCTTTGACGGATCTCCCAGAAGGACGACTCAGAACAATGTTAACATATGCCGGTCTTCGATCTTTCAAACATTATACGATGACAAACACCTTCCGCTGAAGGTTGAACCGAGCCAAGAACAGCACCACGGATCCTCCCAGTCCCACGATGCCCTATTGGTACGTCAACCAGCGAAGAATTCATAAAATATGGACACTAACCGAGAACAATGTCAATTTATGAAAATTCTCAATCGTCTTGGCTCGAATGAACAGCCCGCCAATAGGTGTCCCGGCAAGAGCGCCAAAGGACATAAACGCGAACATCATCCCTATCCGCGCGCCTACGCGTTCGATGGGAGATATCTGCGCCACACAGGCCTGCCCGACATTATCAGCGAAAGACCATGTGCTTTTGGGGGAACGTACGGGGAGGAGAGCGAAGAAAGGGCCGGATGTGAATCCATACAGAGCAGCGAAGGCCACCAAGCTGCCTTCGGTGGAAGAGGTGTACCAGACAGCGAGTATAAGAATCGAGGAAATGAGTGTTGCGGCACAGATAACGTTATACCTAACGAGAGGCATTAGAAAGTCACTAAGCTATTCAAGAGGCCGGGGCCCGGGATTCAGGTGCGAGGGTTTACGATCGATTGGCATGGCATCGTTACGGCCTTGATTATGATCGACTTCAATCGAAACGACGATCGAGAAGTTCATAGCCAAGCACTTCCCCAATAAACGGGCCCCGAACAAACCCTTACCTTCCCAATCGGTCAGCAATCAATCCCGGACCGACGCGTCCGACGATGGAAGTCGCACAGAGAATGGCGAGGTAATATGATGTTAGACCAGATTCGCCGAACACGACGGAACCGTAGAGTCCCACGTAAAAGAACGGATTGAAAATGGAGAAGATGGAGATCCACGCACCAACTGCGAGGAGGCTGTATGTTGGGTGTTTGAACGCTCCAAAGTCCAGGAGTCTGGACATCGGAGGGAAAGGCTTCGTGGGGCGCCGAGGGTGGATCGTGATCACCGCAACGATGTAGCAGAAGAGGCAGATAAATCCAATGATACGAATCGTCCAGCCTTTCAAGCAGAGTAAGCCGTTGAGAGTTCTAATGAGCGCAGTATGGAATCTTACCGAAGCCAAATTTGGGAAGAAGGCGGTGCATAAGGATTGGGAAAATAATCCCGCCCACGCTGGGCCCTGCAGTAACGCATCCAGTTGTGTATGCATTCTTACGCCTGAACCAATGAGCAGTGATAGCTAAGCAAGGGAAAAATCTAAAAATAACGAGGTCAGATCAAACATATTCAATACGTCAGCTCCGCCAAGAGATTATCGGGAGATTTATGGCATACGCACCCAAAGGTTGCGCCGACATTGAATAAGACCCCTTGACACAGATATTGCTGCCATATATGCTGAGGCTTGGTGATGGAGAGCATAAAGATAGAAAACACGACGATAATCCCGCTT